ATCATCATCATCATCATCATCATCATCACATTTTCGCACTAAAGCAAACGTGTCACCAAGTGTGTCCTCACCTCACCTAGGCTTCCTTTCTACTTTGCAGCACAATAGGGGTATTCAGAGAAAATTTCGACCGTTTTTCTACGCACATATTGTAAAGAGGCAGCTTCCTCCTCCTTACTTTGGTTTTGTTACTTGTGCCCTTTTCGACGGACATTTGCTTGAGCTGCCAGATATTTCGCCCTATTCTCGCGTTACTTGCGTGCGTAAAATATACCCACGGGCACTAGAAAAACATTAATTTTTCGCGTTTCTAACTCCTCGATACACTTTTTCCTTTGCAGTCCTCACCAATTATTGTCAGTGGACGAGTTGGTGGATATACTGTCCAAGTCAGGCAGTCCAAAGCCGGGGGCAGCCTACCTTACGGTCGGCTTTGTCGGCTATCCAAATGTGGGAAAATCAAGCACTCTGAACGCGCTTTACGGAGCAAAGAAAGTCTCTGTTTCTGCTACACCCGGTCGAACGAAACGTTTTCAGGTTTCCCAACTTTTTGTGTAGATGATCTATCCGGTCATGTGCTTTCTGCATTCCTCATTACTTTTGCTGGGTTACCACGGCCGTTTATATTGCGACTATCACAGCTACGAATACTTTCACTACTACCAATCGTACTACTACTACTACTATTACTACTACTACTACTACTGCTACTACTAGTACTCCTACTAATAATAATAATAATCAGTCACACTATCATTACTACGTTTTTACTAGTACTAATATTACTATTGCTGCTGCCAATACTATTATTACCCTTATGGATACTGCTTCTACTACGAGTATGGTTATTACTATCATCCTCATCAGTCAAAACTACTATTACTGTGTCTGCTACTACTAACACTATTATTAATACTGCTTCTACGGATGCCGCTGCTGCTATTACGACTTTCGGCTCTGTCACTATTGCTGCCGAGTCTACGACTGCTATTAGTATTATTGAACTGTTACTAAAGCTGTTTCTACTACTTGCTTCTATTACTATTCCTGCTGCTGCACAAACCCTTATGAGGTCAGTATTAGTTTCTCCACATTAGCGGGGTAGTGGCTACTTGCTGGAGAGATGTTACTTTCTTCACCTCCAGCCGATGAGATTTCTGTGCGGTTCCGTCTGTCTGCTAGCCCACTCTGTAAACCCGTTTTCTTATATGGCAGAAAGTCACGTACTGCATTTTCCTCTCCCCGTTTTTTTTTCAGACCATCTTCCGCCAACCAGACTTTCAACTTTGCGATTGTCCCGGAATGGTGATGCCCTCTTTTGCCCATACCAGAGAGGATCTAGTTGTGGCAGGTATCCTTTCTATAGACGAGATGCGTGACTGCATCCCACCAATTAGAGTGGTAAGTTTCTATGCCTTCTGATATTCTCTGTGAATTCTCTGTCCGCACAAGTTGTCGAGCATACAATAGGTCAACTGTCTCGTGAAATGCGTTTTCCCTTAGAATAGTTTACTCGGAGGAGTTGTAATATTGATTACTGTGCAACATATTTTTGCGCCAAATGGTGAATAAATTAGGGTTAAGGTAAGAGATAGGTTTAAGGTTGGATACAAAGTCAAGGTTAAGGTTGAGGTTGGGCCGGGCTTAATGTTACGGTTTAGTTTTAGGTTAGCGTTAGAATTAAGCCACGGGAACATTTACTAATTCTGAGATTTATCGCAAAGTCACCTATTTTAAGTGAGTGGAGCGTTCCTATTCTCGTGTCCTCTTTAGGCGCCCATGTAACTCATGCTTTTCCAGAAGTGTTCTGCAAAACCATTTGTTCAAGGAACGCTTTTTGCAAGGACTGCAGCCACTGTGAATACTTTGGAAGTGTGCATACCCAGAAGGGATCCGTCGCTCGACTCTATTATCGAACGCAATTGTATTTTTGTCGTCAAGGTATGCGAACAAATACCCCGCGATGTCCTTTCTGCCGTCTACGGAGTCAACATTCCTCGCCCAGCCGAATACGAGGATCAAAACCGAGCACCCACACCCTACGAATTTCTTGGCGCTTACGCACGTGAGTAGGCTGCACCCCTTGTCATTCAATTGATTTTCTATAAGAAATCTCAGTGAGCTATCTTAAGGAAAATACTTAACAGAACACACATTTGAACTGGCCGCCCAACTAATATTAATTCACCCCATTTCCTTATCTTCATTATCTTCCTATACACGATCCTTGTCAACTGAGGCTCCCATTCTGGAGACTTTTCGGCCCGCTGTTCGGAAATTACTGGGATGGTGCGCTTACGTTTTAAGAGCCCCCTGTTTTTTGTTTCTTTTTTATTAAAGTTAGTGGCCGATTTCATGACATCTTAACCAGCACTATGAAAGGCGTTTTCGATCTGTAGCGCTGCATTATTGGTCATCGTGCAGCATACTCTTGTGATCTTTCAGCGACGCCAAGACCCCAGTTTTTAAATGCAATAATTTAATGCCGCCTGTAAAAATTACACTCAGTAGCAAAAATGGTTAATTAACTGTGTGTCGTAAACAATTGTTGGATCAGGAGTTCCCGCCGAAATCCAAACTGGTACATAGTAGTTGGGAGACGGAGAAAAGCCGAGACCTCGACCGGCTTGAGCCAAAGG